CATGGAGCGGCTGGGCCTGTGAGCCGTGGCTGCTGAACCTGCGCGTCCGGAGCCTGTGCTCCGCAACGGGAGAGGCCACAACAGTGAGAGGCCCGCGTACCGGTAAAAAAAAAAAAAAAAAAAGCTGGAAAGGGTGTGGTGAAAAGGGAACCCTCCTGCACTGTTGGTGGGAATGTAAATGGATACAGCCACTATGGAAAACAGTATGGAGGTTCTTTAAAACACTAAAAATAGAACTACCATATGACCCAGCAATCCCACTACTGGGCATATACCCTGAGAAAACCATAATTCATAAAGAGTCGTGCCACAATGTTCACTGCAGCACTATTTACAATAGCCAGGACATGGAACCAACCTAAATGTCCATCAACAGATGAATGGATAAAGAAGATGTGGCACATACATACAATGGAATATTACTCAGCCATAAAAAATGAAATTGAGTTATTTGTAGTGAGGTGGATGGACCTAGAGTCTGTCATACAGAGTGAAGTAAGTCAGAAAGAGAAAAAGAAATGCCATATGCTAATGGATATATATGGAATCTAAAAAAAAAAAAATGGTACTGATGAACCTGGTTGCAAGGCAGGAATAAAGAGGTAGACATAGAAAGTGGACTTGAGGACATGGGGTGGGAGGGCGAAGCTGGGGCGAAGTGAGAGTAGCATCGACGTATACACACTATAGAATGTAAAATAGTTGGCTGGTGGGAAGCAGCAGCATAGCACAGGGAAATCCGTGCTTTGCGATGACCTAGATGGGTGGGATAGGGAGGATGGGAGGGAGGCTCAAGAGAGAGGGGATATGGGGACATGTGTATGCACATGGCTGATTCGCTTTGTTGTGCAACAGAAACTAACACAGTATTGCAATTATACTCCAATTATGCTCCAATAAAGCAATTATACTCCAATAAAGATTATACTCCAATAAAGCAATTATACTCCATAAAGCTCTATTAAAATAAAATAAGATAAAAAGGACTGGCTTTTGCCTGTTGCTTCATATCAAGCCTCTGTCCCTCCTAGAGTCGTCTTTTGTACCTTGGGGTACCCGGGCAACACTTGAGAGAACAGTGGTGTACATACGAATCCACCCGACTCAGGATGTGGCACAAAGGTAGGCTCTGGGGACCCAGTTCTTGGCATTTGGTTGGAATTCTGGCTGCAGGACAGGAGTGGGATGGGATGGGGCAAAGGCGGGGGTGTTTCCTCCACTTCTCAAAGGGGCCATGCTTTGGGAACCCACTAGAATCAACAGAAGTGTCCAAAGTCAGAAACCCCCTGCCTCTGTTGTAAACTATGTCACATGTTCTACCACCTTGCAAACCCGAGTGAATAGAAAAGCCGGGCATACTTGGCACACAGTGACATTTGTAATGCCATCGTACAGAGAGAAAAACCACTGTACAACGCTGCCCTCACGCTTCCCAGGGAAGCCAAGGCCTGACTCTGTGGGAGCCAGAGGGTCAGGGACGAATTAAAGGTGAGTCTCCATCTCCTGGTTTCTTATCATGTCACGTTTGTGCTTTTGATCCTGAGACAGAAGAACTCTTGGCATAACTGTATTGTACCCATCAGTATATACCCCGGCCTCCTGCACAGTGAGGGCACTGAGACCCGGAGAAGATCTTCTGACCTCATAGCAGGTGACCAGCAGAGCCAAGACCAACCCAGGGCTCCCGGGCAGGGGGCCGGGCGGCCACGGAGCTAGGAGACTGGGCTCTGATCGCAGAGGGTCATGCTTAACCCAGAGAAGGCGGGATTTCAGGCACCATGATGTTCCCAACCCTTAGGGGGCTGGAGGTGACATAAAGAGAGATCCTCACCTGCTCCAGCTGCCCCTCGGTGTCCTCGATGTCCAGGGCAGGTGGCCGCCTCTGGTGCTGGCACACTAGCTGGAACAGGTTGAGTGCGGCCATCCTGGTGTGTCCCAGGAGCAGGGTCTTCTCAGCCGCGGTGTTCTGGATCTGAATACACTTGGATTCCTGGAGAACACCGCCCCCTTCCCCATTAAGGTGTGAGCTGGCCTGAGGAGGCCTGGGACCACATTCGCGTCGACCTCCCACCGGTCATAGATGCCCCTAGGTGCTATCAGGGAGAGGAGTGCTGGACTCGGGTGTCAAGTTCTCATAGGAGGAGTGCTGGACTCGGGTGTCAAGTTCTCATAGGAAGGGCCTCCTGCGCCCTAAAGTGCTTTCCGATGCCTGAAACCTGCCCATGAGCGTAGCGTTGCCCCATATGGCACTCCTCCCGGCGGTGGGAGGCTGGGGTCCCGGGCGCCCACCTCCTCCCGGCGGCGGTACCCAGTGCAGCGTGCGCTCCCGCGCCGCCTCCAGTTGCTCCAGCAGTTGCGCTCGCCGCTGGCCCTGCCGCAGCAGGTCGTCCTGCCAGGTGTCCCGCAGCCGCCGCAGCCGCGCGCGCGCCTCCTCCAGCTCCGCGAGCCGCTGGCGCTCCGTGAGCCTCAGCGCCGCCTGCGTGTCGGCCAGGCCGTCGAAGCGCGCCACCAGCTCGGGGACCTCTTGGAACTGGGATAGGGTCGGGAGGGGGACTCACCGGGACTGCAGCCCCCCTGCCCTTCCTCGCCCTACCATCCCCCGCGCCTCCTCAGCCCAACTGTGAAATGGGGGCATCACACAGCCCCTGCCCCAGAAGTGTGATTACTCCGGCCCCTCCCCACCTCCACCATCAAACCTAGCTAAGCTTCACTGCCTGTGATTAATACTAAGTCACTGTTTCATTCAACTAATACTGAGTGTTTGGATTCCCCCTCCCCCCACCTGCCTGTGTGTCCTTGAGTAAGTTATCTTTCTGAGCCTCAGTTGCCCCATCTGTAGAATGGGGTTGGCAATAACAAGACTCACTTCACTGGACCTTGGAGAGAATTCAAGAACAAAGCGTGTTCCTGACATACAGTTAGTGCTCAATAAGTGGTGACTCCTGGCATACAGTCAGCGCTCCAGTAGTGCACACTTCCAAAGCCGTCCCTAAGGCTGCCTGGGGCTGCACGTGGCGCTGAACACCAAAACTTCTGCAGGGCGCTCACCTCGGGCAGCTGCTCCAGTACTTGCCCCAGCAGGCGCGCGCAAGGCTCGAGGCGCCAAAGCAGGCGCTGCAGCCGCGCGCGCTCCCGCTGCAGCTCCTCCAGCTGAGCCCGAAGTCGCAGCGCCTCCGCCTCCCGGCGGCTCGCCAGTTGCCGCTCCTCCGCCGCCCTCCGCAGTGCGCGGCTGCGCCGGGCCTCCGCATCCTAGGAAGGAGGGATGGAGAGGAGGCGACGACCCCCAGGACTTGGGAGCCTGCGGAGCTTGCCGCATCCACTCCACCCCGACATTCGCACGCTGAGTCACGGGTTGCAAACAGATGGCCCACGGGCCAAATCCAGCCAGAATCTCTGATTTTGGTCCCTCACTCCTCTCCCACGCTTTTAAAAATGCTTCAGGCAGTAGTGTGTATTTCCCACCACTCCCTTTTGTATTGGTAAGCCCACTTTTTAAGTTTATGTCTGGCTCCTTTAGGATTGTGACTTTGTGACCCTCTGCCCTGCCTCCCCCCAGCAGGCTCCACCTACCTGCAAAAATTTTTCAAAGCGGACAAAGGACCCCTTTAACTCCTGCTCTTTCTGTTCCAATTGTTCCCACCGCTGTTTCAGGGATGTCTGCATAGTCTGGAACACCTGGGGGGTAAGGAGTGGGTGTCTGTGTTTGTTTGGGGTTTCAAGTCATCCAGCGCTTTCACGCTCACACTTAACCTCGCTCACCTTTTGCCCTTAATCTTTTTTTTTTTTTTTTGGCTGCGCCTTGCGGCATGTGGCATCTTAGTTCCCATGCCCCCTGCAGTGGAAGCGCGGAGTCCTAACCACTGGACCACCAGGGAAGTCCCTTTTGCCCTTAATCTTGTCACTGCACCCTTGCTCAAATCCACCTGTGGCTCTCACCACCCACGATGAAGCCCAAATTCCCTCCTGTAGCCCCTGCATGTCAGCATCCCTGCTCTTCCTTGGGGCCTCATCTTACCCTCTCTCCTCTGATACTGTCTTCTAGCCTCTTACCCACCTGTGTTTTGTCCTTGCCTTCCTGTCTTTGTATATGTTGCTCCCTCTGCCTGTTTCTCCCTCCTCACCCTGTCCCCCTTTGCTGGATAAGCCGACTTGCCCTTCAGCATTCCCTAAGACATCACTTCCTCCAGGAGGTCCTCCATGACCACCCCTGTGTAGAGATAGGGGCTTTCTCTGGGCTCCCACAGCCCCTGCTCAGTGCTTCCCCCCTCACAGCCATCACCACCTGGACACTTGTCTGTCCCCTTCTCTAAGCTGTGAGCCCATGAGGGCAGGGACTGTGGTGAGACCTCTAGATCCCAGTGCAGTGCCCTGCATGCAGTAGCTGCTCAATGCACATTTATTTGCACCAACCACTGATCTCATTTGATCCCCCATTTGAGAGACGAGGAAACCAAGGCTCAGGACGGTGATTTGTCTCAGACCTTGTAGTAATAAGTTGGCTCCATCACTTTCCCATCTTTTTCTTCCCATCTTTTTTTAACTTTTTGTCCCCAAAAGTTTCAGGGACTGCATTGAGTGGCTCACCTCCTTCTGGGCCTGAAGGCCCTGGTCCGCATCCACCAGTTCCTGCCTCTTCTCCAAGAGACGCAGCAGTGGCGGTGGGACGTGGTCCACATTCTGCCCCTGGATCTTCCTGGAGGGGCTCAAGGAAGAGGTGAGGGTGAAGGAGGCAAGAGTCAGGGCCCCCAAACTCCCCACTGGTGCCTGACATACCCCAACTAGCCACCTCCTGGCTGTTGAATTTTTCATTCATTCAACAAATTGTCCCGAGCACCTACTCTGTACCAGGCACTGTTCTGGGCACTGGGGATGCAGCCCTGATCAAGACAGACAGATCCCTGCCCTCCAGGAGCTGCCGTCCTGCTGGGGACCACAGAAAAAAAGCTAGCAAATAATAATAAATAATGCTAGGACATGGCAGGTGCTAAGATGAAAAATTCATCAGACTGAAGGGAATCTCTCAATAGGGAGATAGAAAAGTCTCTGTTGGGGGACATCTGAGCAGAAGCTTGAAGGGGAAGAGGGAGGGAGCCATGAGGATACCGCAGGGAACAGATTCTAGGCCGAGGGAATGGCTGATGACAACCCCCCGAGGGAAGGACCTTGGTGTGTAGAAGGAGCTGCCAGGAGGCCAGTGCAGTTGGAGGGGAGGAAGGAGCAGAGAGACGGGCACTGAGATCAGGGAAGTTGTGAGGGTGACTGCGGTGGGCCTTGATGAGGGGGGACTTTGGCCTTGACTCTGAGTGAGGTGGGAGGCCTGGGAGGGTTTGGAGCAGAGGAGGGAATCCCCTCTGGCTCCTGTGGGGAGCGAGGACAACAGGAGGGGCAGGGCAGCTGCAGGGGACCAGGGACGGGTCACAGGATAATGCGGAGAGGATGGGGCTCTGATCTGGGTGGGTGCAGTAGAGAGGTAAGGAGGGGGCGGTTCTGGATACCACTGGAGAGCAGAGCTGATGGGGTGACGAGAGGGGGAGAAAGGAGTCGAAGGGGAACCTAGATGCTGGAAGGATGTTGCTGATAGCGGGCTGAGTGGGAAGCAGGGAGATCAGCTCTTCCCTAAGGCCAAGTTGAGACTGAGCTGCCTATTGACCTCTGCGGGAAGGATCCAGGGGGAGGCTGGGATGTGGAGCCAGGCTCACAGGAGAGAGGAGGGGCTGGACACAGCTCCGCAGGGTCGGCCCTGTAGGGAGCAGAAGGGATGCACTACCATTCCACTAGGCAAGGCTCTCCCAGCTCTGGTCCAGGGGAAACCCTCCCATTTTACTGATTCTGAGACTGAAGATGGGACCCCCGGCCACACTGCTGAAAGAAGGCAGGCACCAGACAAGCTTCCTCCACCCTTCCTTTAAAATGCAGTTTGCAGTGAGAGGGGGCAAGAGCTCGAAGAGTAATTCCTTCCCACCTTGGATCAAATGATATAATCTCAGCTGGATATCAACTAGGGATGGGGATGGAGAACAGGTTAGAGACCTGGGCCTTTGACCCAGCTCTGCCCTAACTACCCCTGAGACCTTGAGGAAATTGCCATTTCCTTCGGAGCTTCAGTTTCTTCCTCTATGAAGTGGGGGCAATAATCCCCCACCAAGAACTGCCCGAGGAAGCCAGAACCCAGGGGTAGGGAGAAGGGAGGGATCTTCCCACCTGCTCCTGCCCTCCTTTCAGCACCCCCTGCCACCCCACGCCACTCACGTAGACAGTTTCTTTTGCAAGGCCAGTCGGAAGTATTTCTCCCAGGGCACTGCCATTCTCCTGGCAATCGCCCCAGGCTTGCTTTCTTTCTGGAGCTTTACACTAGCCTAGAGGAGGCCCTGGAGTGTTCTGATGGAGGGTTTGCACGCTCAGTATTCCCGGAAGGCAGCCACCCAGCCAGCCTCGGTCGCCCGGGCGACCAACGACACAACATTCCATTGCCTGCCTGAGGCCTGGAGAATCCACCTGGAGAGGGAGAGAGAGGGGGCTGCAGGGAGGGGAGCATCTTCTGCCCGGTCTGGAGGAGGCTTGAACTCCCAATCTAAATTGGGGTGCAGTGAACAGGACGTGGGTCTCTTGGCCAATAATTTGCCCCTCGGTGCCCCATGTCTGGTCAAACCTCTTCCTGGATGGGTGGGATGGGGCCTCACTAATGTGGCTGTGTGCTCAGATGTCTGGTCAAATGAGTAATTATTGGACACCCACTGTTTGCCAGGTCCTTGGGGGGCAGGCATTCACTCCCTGGCAAGGTGCTGAGGTCCTACTATGTTCCAGCCCTTTGATGGTCCACTCCCATTGCTGACTACCCTAGCCTTGTCTCACGGAGCCCCCAGCCTGGTTAGGGAGATAAAGCAGAGGGGCCATCAGCACTACCCTGTGGAAACCAGCTTGCAGGGACCCAGAATCTGCATTTGGAGGATGGGGGGTAGGGGAGGAGGTGACATAGTTTGCGCAATTACAGTGGGTCAGACACTGCCCTGAGTACTCTACTTACGGTATCTAATTTAATCTTTAAAACAGCACTGCCGGGAGTGGTAATAGGGAAAAGTACCCAGAGGAATATTACAAATACTCATGCGTCCGCCAACTGGAAATAGCAAACACGAGCGTCTTGTCCTCTTTGCTTCCAAGCGTCTTATTTTTCCTTTTTAAATAATTTGTTTTTTCATGTAAGGAAATGTATTTTCTTTTTGTAGAGTAACACTATTTAAAAAAAATTTTTATTGAGGTATAATTGATTTATACTGTTGTGTTAATTTTTCTGTACAGCAAAGTGATTCAGTTATACATGATTCAGTTGTACATATATATGTATTCTTTTTCATACTCTTTTCCATTATGGTTTATCACAGGATATTGAATATAGTTCCCTGTGGTAGGGGAACAAAGTAGGACTTTGTTGTTTATCCATTCTATATATAATTGTTTACATCTGCTAATCCCAAACTTCCAATCCATCCCTCCCCTACCCCCCTCCCCTTTGGCAGCCATAAGTCTGTTCTCTATATCTGTGGGTCTGTTTCTGTTTCTTAGATAAGTTCATTTGTGTCATATTTTAGATTCCACATATATGTGATATCATATGGTATTTGTCTTTCCCTTTCTGACTTATTTCACTTAGTGTGATAATCTCCAGTTGCATCCATGTTGCTGCAAATGGCAATATTTCATTCTTTTTTATGGCTGAGTAGTATTCCACTGTATATATGTACCACATCTTCTTTATCCATTCATCTGCTGATGGACATTTAGGTTGTTTCCATGTCTTGACTATTGTAAACAGTGCTGCTATGAACACTGGAGTGCATGTATTTTTCAAATTAGAGTTTTGTCCGGATATATGCCCAGGAGTAGAATTGCTGGATCATTTGGTAACTCTATTTTTAGTTTTTTGAGGACTCTCCATACTATTTTCCATAGTGACTGCACCAATTTACGTTCCTACCAACAGTGTAGGAGGGTTCCCTCTTCTCCAGACCGTCTCCAGCGTTTGTTTCGTTTTTCTTCCATAAATTTTATTTATTTATTTATGGCTGCATTGGGTCTTCATTGCTGCGTGCGGCCTTTCTCTAGTTGCAGCGAGCAGGGGTACTCTTCATTGTGGCGCATGGGCTTCTCATTGCGGTGGCTTCTCTTGTTGCAGAGCACGGGCTCTAGGCATGCAAGCTTCAGTAGCTGTGGCACTCTGGCTCAGTAGTTGTGGTGTGCGGGCTTAGTTGCTCCGCAGCATGTGGGATCTTCCCAGACCAGGGCTCGAACCCATGTCCTCTGCATTGGCAGGTGGATTCTTAACCACTGTGCCACCAGGGAAGCCCCAGCTTTTTTATTTACAGATAACTGTAGATTCTTGTGCAGTTTAAGAAATAAAAAGAGAGATTCCATACTGCTTCACCCAGTTTCCCCCAGTGGTGACATCTTGCACAGCAACAGTCCAGATCACAACAAGGATATTGACATTGATACAATCCCCCCACCTTATTCAAAATGCTTAGTTTTATAATCACTTGTGTGTGTGTGTGTGTGTGTGTGTATTTAGTTCTATGCAATTTTTACAATTTTATTTATTTATTTGGCCACATAGCCGGCTTATGGGATCTTAGTTCCCCGACAAGGGATCAAACCTGGGCCCCTGGCAGTGGAAGACCGGAGTCCTAACCACTGGACCGCCAGGGAATTCCCTCATTCTATGCAATTTTATCACATGTCCATTCCTATGACTGCCACAGTCCAGATACAGAGCATTCATCATGAGGATGCTTCAAGCTAACCTTATATAGCCACATCCATCCCCTCCCTGCTGCCTTCCTAATCCCTGGCAACCATTCATCTGTTCTCCATCTGTATTACTTTGTCATGTCAGGGGTGTTGTATAGTAATTGGAATCATATACTATGTAACCTCCTGAGATTGGCTTTTTTCAACTCAGCATCATTCTCTCTCTTTTTTTTATGGATGAAGAAATTTTATTTTTTAAAAAAATATTTATTTATTTATTATGGCTGCGCCGGGTCTTCACTGTGGCACGTGGAATCTTCACTGCAGCATGTGGGATCTTTTAGTTGTGGCATGTGGACTCTTAGTTGCGGCATGCATGTGGGATCTAGTTCCTTGACCAGGGAATGAACCTGGAGCCCTTGCATTGGGGGGCATGGAGTCTTACCCACTGGACCACCAGGGAAGTCCCTCAACATCATTCTCTTGAGATCCATGCTGGTTGTTACAGGTGTTTGTGTTTTTGATTGCTGAGTAGCATTCCATGGGATGGATATACCTCAGTTTGTTTAATCACTCACGTTGGAGGATATTTGGGTTGTCTCCTATCTTTGGCTATTATGAATAAGGCCACTGTGAAGATTCCTGTCCTGGTTTTTGAGTGAACGTAAGTTTTCATTTCTCTGGTATAGAAGCCCAAGGGCGCAATTGCTGGGTCATATGGTAAGTGCCTGTTTAGGGTTTTTGTTTTTGTTTTTGTTTTAAATTAAGAAACTGCCATATCCTTTTCCAGAATGGCTGTCCCATTTTATATTCCCACTAGCAATGTATAAGTGATCCAGTTTTATTCTACATCCTCGCTGCCATCACTATTTTCTGTTTTAGCCATTCTGATCGGTGTGTAGCGATATCTTTGTGGTTTTATGTTGCATCTCTCTACTGGCTAATGATGATGAACACATTTTTATGTGCTTATTTGCCATCTGTATATCCTCTTCAGCAAAATACCTCTGCGAGTCTGTTGCCTGTGTTCTAACTGGATTGTTTTTAACTGTTGAGTTTTGAGACTTCTCTGAGTATTCTAGATACGGGTCTGGGTGTTCCAGATAGCCCTCTGTTGGGTATTTTCTCCCAATCTGTAGCTTCTCTTTTTATTCTCTTCACATGGTCTTTTGCAAAGTTTGAAATTGTGATGAGATCCAGTTTGCCACTGTTTCCTTTGTGGATTGTGCTTTTGGTGTCAAGTCTAAGGTGGGTTTTGAACTCAGTCCATCTGGGTGTGGAGTCCACCCTCTTAACCACAACACTCCACATAGAGTTGAGCCCTTTTTGGATCTTTTCCTCCTTAGACCCATTCGCTTCCTTCCATCCCTAGAGAATACCATCATCTTGAAGCTGGTGTGAATCTTCCCTTCTTAATTTCTCTTCTTTTGGAGGTGGTTTTTTTAACAGTGTTTATTGAGCACCTTCTATGTGCCAGGCACTGTGTGAGGATACAGCAGTGGATAAGACAAAACCTGTCTTCATGGGTCTTAGAGGCTAATGGGGATGCCAGGTGAATCAAATCACCCTGCAAATATGTCATTGCATGCTGACAGGATTGCCAGGGGAGGTGCAGAAGTGCAAGGAGGGAGTCAGGGAGGCCTCCTTGAGGAAGTGACATGTAAACCCTGAAGGGTGAGGAGGGGTGAGTAGAGGAGAGGAGGGGTAATCCAAGTATTGGGAACAGCATGTGCAAAGGCCCTGAAGCAAGGGGATATGGCCCCTCCTAGAAGAGAACAAAGGTCTGTAGGTTGGTGTGCAGAATTCTAGGATGAGGGTGCAGGTCAGGACTGCACAGGGCCAAGGAAGGGCAATACCTGGGCTAGAAGTGACAAACAGGGGATGGAGGTTCAGGGGGGTTAAGTGACTCCTCCGAGAGCACACAGGCTGAGAGGTGCTGGGCCCTGGAGTTTGTTTATATAGAGATAACCCATCCCTGCTTTGGAACTGCTCATGGCTTGGAGGAGGTGAGGTCCCTACACACTTGTCTTCAGAAGGCTGGAGCTGTGGCTTTAGCTCTGTGGCCAGTGGATCTACCTCCCCACCCCAGGCCACAGCATTCCTCTCTGTTAAATGGGGCATTGCTTCCAAATGCTTCCGGGGCTCCCCTGCCAAGCTGCTGAGGCAGGGCCTCCCCCCTGTCTCTGTCTCCATGTCCTGGGAGATGGGGTGGGTGGAGCTGCTAAGTGACAGCAAGACACAACTTCTCAGCTGGCCTTGCCCTTGGCCACAAAGCCACAAGCTCTGGAAATATCCACTCTCCCCACCCCCGCATTCCCCCAGCCCCCAATCTCACCTCCCCTTCCTACTTCTCCATTCCAAAGCGGGGGCAGGGGAGGGCACTTTGTGGAGTAGGGCTAAGGAAGGAGGAAGCCGGGGTGCAGCCTGCAGACGCACACCTTGTCTTCAGGCTGTGGGAGGAGGGGACTTACAGGCCCTGCTCCCTGGCAGCCAGCCCGCAAGAGGGGCTTTGGAAATCCTGCCCACTCCTCCCACCGCCGCCTCCTGTCCCACGTGGCTT